GGACTCCAGGATCATGACCTGAGCCGAAGGCAGTCGCCCAACCAACTGAGCCACCCAGGCGCCCTGGTACAATTTATTTTAACTGAACTCAACAGCAACAACAACAACATCATTGTGCTAGAAATAAGACCCAGAAGTAAGTGAGACAGGCAATGCCCCTCTGTCATATTCTTCATGAAACGGGCAGGACTTGACAGAATTTTGGCTAGCAGCATTTTTCGTCCATTTCTCTGAGCACCTATGAATAAGGCAAAACCATTGATAAAAGCCGTGGATAAGTCCGAAGACATTGTCCGTTATTATTCTGTGTGTCTTTCCCCTTCTACCTTCTCTTTAGGGAATTTCTTCTATATGAAATAAACACAAAACCAAATGAAATGGTTGAAGCAGTAACTATGACCGGTTTACTGTTGGGAATTTTACATTTGTAATAAACATCAAGGTATTTGGCAACCGAATGTTTATCAGTGAGTGGCTGTAGTAGGCATGTAGTAGGGACATCAGGCACTTTGTGCTCTCTCAAGATCCTCAGACTCAAGATTGGAGGTAGTGGGCCGGGAAATGAGACAGTGGAGGTTACAAGTCACCAAGAAAGCTCTTTTGTGTGCAACTGAGGACTGGATAGGCAGCGTGTAGGTGCTGGCCGACTCCCTAATGCTCCTCTTGCAAGTCAAAGCTCCGAATTCCCATCAGTTCCCCCACTCCCTACACTAGGCCCACACTTCTGGGCCTGGCTTTCAAGGACCTGGGTATCAGCCTTTATTTTAGCTCAGGCTTCCCACTGACCCGTTACAGCTGTATCCTCAGTCTGCCTCTGCACCTTCACCTGTGTTTTGTCCTTCTGGATTTCTTTCTCTTCTCCAAATGTTGTTAAAGGATTACGTTTCATTTCTCCCAGGAGCTTCCCTGACTATTCCATCTGCCCTAGTCCTGGTCACTGCTTCCTTGGCATTCCTAAGATCACCTACTCAAGCACACTTATAAAACTGAGCTCACAGGGGACCAATGTCCCACAACAGTAAGGGGTGGAACCAAAACAGAGTTGTTGTGAGTTAATTTTATTTCTTCAACTTGACTGAGATCATAATTATTACTTGCATAGGGTCTTAAGTTTTAAAAATACCTTATAGTGTTTCATTAGATTCTAACAACAATGCTTGGGATAGTCACCCTGACCAGCCCCATATCAGAAGCAAGGCTCAAAGATGGTAATTGCGCTGCTGAAGAGTGGAAAGCCTTCTCTCTTCACAATTTTGGGCTGTCTTCTACTATGTGAGCTCTTGAAGGTTATGTAAAACCAAGATGTGTATCTCTCTGTAATACAGTAATGCTTTAGAGCATGGAATCTGGGTTTGGTTTTTCTGTTCTACCCTTTACTGTTTGGTGACCTTGGACAAATTACTTAAACTTTTGTGTTTGGCTTCCTGATTTATAAGATGGGAGAATGATAATACGTCTCAAAGGTTAATGGTGGTGATTAAATGAGATAATACATATAAAGCCCTTACTTAGTACAGGACCTAATACTCACCTAAGTATTCAATGAATATTTTTTCTTTCCTTTCCTCCTCCTTCTCCTTCTGCTGCTTCTTCTTCTTCCTCCCCTTCCCCATCCTCCATTTTCTTTCCCTTCTTCTAATGATAACAGATGACTCCCCTCATCAGCATCATCATCATCATTCATCATTTTCTGTCACCTACAATTGGGATTGGTAAACTTTTTCTGTAAAAGACAGACAGTAACTGTTTCTGGCTTTGTGAGCCATACTGTTTCTGTTGCAACTATTCGATTCCGACGTTGCAGCACAAAAGCCACCGTAGACAATACATAAACAAATGGGCATGGCTATGTTCCAGGAAGGCGCTGTGTTTGGCCTTGGGGCTGTAGTCTGCCCACCCTCGACCTAGATTGGTTCAGGGCATGGGTAGCAGCAATGCTTTCCTTACTCATGAAGGTGGCAGGGATGCTGAGCCATTTTCCCCTCTCCCCTGGCCCCTGCTTCTACCTTGTCACAATCAGCTTACGTTGTAGGAAGCAGCAGAGCATGGTGGGAGGAGCATGTACTTGGTGACCAGGAGACCTGCATTGTGCCACCTGTACCTCAGGGAAGTCACTTTCCTTGAGCCCCGCTGAGGAAATTAGGAGGTTAAGACAGAAGAAACGGGAGTGTGGCGTGAACACGGGGAAGGAAAAGAAAGCAAGAAAGTATGCAACCATGAAGGGAATGCTAAGTCTGAGATCAGAGGCTTAAAGAGCAGGATAGATCAACACCTAAAAAGAAAGAAAAGAAAGATCCCAGTGTACTCAAGGAAAGAGAGGTCCCCCAACATCCTTCCTGCTTATTCTTGTGGTATAACAGCTGGGCCCACCTGACCACATCCTGCTTGATACCAACTTCATCAACTTTTCCATTAAAACCAAACTTGACCTAGTATAGTCAATGATGGACTGTCTGTATGCCACGTGTATCCCTTGTATAACTGACTGTGTAATGGCCAAAATTGAGAAACTGGGGCAAAAGTGGTATGATTAGCTAAAATCCTTTGAGTTCTCTTGAAATTGAGTATCAAGTCGGAGAACCAGGTGATTCAATGAGAACCACGGGAGAATAATTACTTAGCAAATATTTTATTGAGATCCTTCTGGATGCTTAAAGAAATTTTTTAGAAATGAAAGAAAAGGTAAGTCCTGTCCTTGTTTAGTTAATAATCTTAGGTTTTAAAAAAAAAGGAAATTTTAAAAAATGACATAAACTTCAGTGAAAGATTAATATGGTACAAAGCTTTAAATTTTTTTATTGTGGGAAAATATCTATAATGTAAACTTGACCACTTTAACCATTTTTAAGTGTAAAATTCAGTGACATTGTGTACACTCCCAATATGTGCAACCATCATTACTATTTCCAGAACTTTTCCCATCGTCCCAAACAGAAATGTTGTACTTGTTAAACTTGTGCAGTTTTCTTTCTTTCTTTCATTCTTCCTTCCTTTCTTTCTTTTTCTTTCTTCCTTTCTCTTTTCTTTCTTTCCCCTTCCTTCCTTCCTTCCTTCCTTCCTTCCTTCCTTCCTTCCTTCCTTCCTTCCAAGATTTTATTTATTTATTTGAGAGAGAGAGAGAGAGAGAACACAGAGGGAGACTGAGCAGGGAGCCTGACGTAGGGCTCCATCCCAGGACCCTGAGATCATGACCTGAGCTGAAGGCAGGTGCTCAACTGAGCCACCCAGGCACCCTGAGAGTTTTCTATAATGTACGTGGGGAGGATGTATAAAAATATATTCTCTGTGGAATGAAAAAAAAGAGAAGGTAATGAAACAACATGTGAGGTATAAGGTATGAAAAGGTTTGAGAGGCAAGGGAAAGATGTAGGCTTAGGAGATGGACAGGGCTGTTGACAGCCCACATGGTGCCTCTACATACTGTGAAAACAAGAATTTCTTCCTCTGGGCAGATCCAGCCTGTACAAATTATCTGGCTGGGAATGCAGAGATTGGGCTGGCTGGGTTTTGGCCCTCGCTTGCCACCTGGACCAGTAAGAAAGCTGTGAAGCCAAGATTTGAGGCCAGATGCATTGATTGCAAAGCACATGCATTCTGGCTCTGGGGCTGAGTTGAAAGAGAGCCCTCAGAAATGAGTTCCTGAGGAGGATCTGATGTGACAAGCAATAGGACATTGCTCACGGGAGGTTTTCCAGCTTGGAATATGAGCTACATCAAATGGAGAAGAAAATCAGGCAGAAGCCATTCAGAACTCTGTGGTTCAAAGGTGTCACGTTTAAACCCATTTAGCAGTGTGAAACTTTATGCAGAATTGTCCCTTGCCGATTATTAATCTCAGTTCTCTCTATATTTACAATTTTAGGGCACTGAAATGGCAAAATATTTTGAGTCTCTGGTCAGAAATGACCCTTTCTTTGAAATCCCTGCCAAGAGGCACCTTGGCCTGGTGGTTTTTCGCCTAAAGGTAATGCCATCTTCCATGGCTTATAATTATGTTATTTGGTGGTTGTTCAGCCTCTTGGATCTATAAATACTGGGCTTCTGGGGATGCTTAGGGGGGGATGTGACATAGACATCATTTCTCTTTATTCTTCAAACAGGGTCCTAATTGTCTCACAGAAAGTGTATTAAAGGAATTAGCTAAAGCTGGCCGTCTCTTCCTCATCCCGGCCACTATCCAGGACAAACTGATCATCCGTTTCACTGTGACATCCCAGTTCACCACCAGAGGGGACATCCTGAGAGACTGGAATCTCATTCGAGATGCTGCTACTCTCATCCTGAGTCAGCACTGTACTTCCCAACCTAGCTCTCAGGTTGGGAACCTCATCCCCCTAACCACGGGCCCCAGAGCCTTGGCCAGTGGGATGTCCCTTCAGTCTGCCAATGGGGCAGGCTATGACCAAGCCCAGGCCAGGAAGATCATCAAGCAGCCTCAGTGTGTGGGAGCCAGTCCTATGAAAAGGGAAGACAGCTGCCATCTTGAAACCCTCTTTGACCCACTTGATGATGACTGCTTTTCAGAAGAGGCCCCAGACGTCGCCAAGCACAAGCTATCCTCCTTCCTGTTCAGTTATTTGTCTGTGCAAAATAAGAAGAAGACCGTGCGTTCCTTCAGTTGCAACAGCATGCCTGTGAGTGCTCAGAAGCCACTGCCTGTGGATGGCTCCGTGAAGAATGATGGCTCCTCCAGGGCCAGAATCTTCTCTAGGTTCCCAGAAGAGATGATGATGTTAAAGAAAAGTGCCTTCAAAAAACTCATCAAGTTTTACAGCGTCCCAAGCTTTCCAGAATGTAGCTCTCAGTGTGGGCTCCAGTTGCCCTGTTGCCCTCTGCAGGCGATGGTTTAGACCAGGGGTTTCAGCCAGAATCCAAGAATGTGTTTCAGGGAGTTGCTGAGCCCCTCAGAATTGTATGCTGAATTAGTGTGCTTATGTGTATGTGCATTTTTCTTAAGAGAGAGCCCATCACTGTATCAGATTCTCACAGAGGTTCATGACCCATGACAAGATACAAATGGGGAGCTTAAGGCAGCATGGTACAGAAGGTCCCAGCCGTGTTTCTCTCTGGTCAGAGAGAAAGGACCCCAGGAAGTGTACTGACAGGCAGCTTCTATGGTTCAGCTTGTGATGTGAAATATATTATAGAAATAAATTGTACTTGTCCCTGAAAAAATATCTTGTGTGACTTAATTGACCACTGAGACACTGACTAATTCATCAGAGCATATCCTGGAGCCTAAATGTATGTACTTATGGATTCTACTTTTCGGGATGTTGAAGATGTGGATTTAACTCTGAAAGAATGACTTTGGAGGAGCCCTTGGTATGAAGAAGGCAGGCAGTTTGAGGCAGGCACTGTGACTCACAGTTTATAAATGAGGAGACCAAGGCCCCAGGTCACAAAAGCTTGTAAGTGGGCAAAGCCAGGTCTCCTTGTCTTTGATAAAGCTCATGCTATTTCCACCGTGCCGTACTTGATCAGAAGCTCACGGTACGGCCCACCCCCGCCCCCGCCCCAGTCCTTCAGTCCATTTCAAGTTTCCCTCCCTAGATTTAGAACTTGTACATTTTCTCTCTTTCTGGACCCTGTCGTCAAATAAAAGCTGTGCTCCCAGGCAGCTTGCCCAGTTAATTCATAGGTCAAAACCTGTTTTCTTCCTATTTGAGATGGCTCTGAAATGGGTTATATTAACATTGTCAAAGGTAAACAAAGCTGGATGCTAGTTGAAGTGGTAAGGACAGATTTTACTCAGTAATATATTGTTGCAGTAGGGACAAGGGTCCAGGATAAAGTAGACTCAACTTTGACTTGGAGGTGAGCGGGCACTTTACAGGGAGGATGAGGGGGTAGGGAAGGAGGCAAGCAGGGTCTTGGTAGAGTCAGGGAAGTGCAAAATGACAAAAAGCAGGAAGAGAGCACAGGTCCATGTGAAATCCATCTGGGTTTGCTAACTGGTGCTTATTGAAGTTAGACTCCTATCCCCCCCACAGGGGCTGGGAAACAGGCCCATCTTCAAGTGTTGGGTGGAACCAACAGTAAATACCTTTTATCAGCCTTGATTTTTCACAGGCAGTTACTTTAAGGGGAGCCAGGGTCATCCTAGGGTTGTGGCCTTGAGCTGTTAGAGCCTATGTTAGTGTTTGTTCAAGTCTTTATAGGCCAAAGTTGAGGAGTGGTCAACAAGATGGCTTGGAGGAGCGTGGCTAGAGTTTGGTCAAGGACAGAGTTTTTATCAAGAGCATAAAGTTTCATGTTGACACTTCCTTCTAAGGGTCTTTCCGGTCAGCATTCCTTGAAGGTCTGACCTGACTTCCTTCCTCCTAGACGCTTGGAGAACTATCACACTAGTGCTCAGCTCATCTCTTGGTCCATAGCAGGCACCCACAAAATGCTTGAGTGGATGTGCAAATGAGCAATATGTGAACAAATCATCTCTTGAGTTTGTCACTTCACTTGGCCAATCTTATCCATTTTTATAGTGATTCTCATTTGCTTCCATTTTTCATGCTGACATTTCCTAGTTTTATCCCCAAATTATTTTTGGGGCTGGAACATCCTATCTATGCACTGACTACGGGTTTCCAAACAATATGTTTGAAATTGGAGACCTGTCGATTGATACACATGGATATCAGCTTATGTTTTAAAAAATATCCATTTGTACTTTAAAATGATGATTTGTGCAGATATTTTTACAGGCACAATTTGTGACCTTTCTAAAAGAGAAATACTGGTCTTTAAAATTGATTATCTGTCACAGGTAATGGCTTACTTTGATGTACATACACGCGAACCCAGGTGTTGAGGCTACTCTGCTGGTGTCTGTATCCATCACAGTGGACCTGTGGTACCTGGCCAGAACCACAGAGCTTTGGGGAAGTGGGAGGCTGAGAAAGCCATCAGGCTGGGAGGGAGAGTTTCTGAGTATCTAACTGGAAAGTCTAAAACATGGCTCAAAGGTGGTCAGGCCCCAGTAGCCTCTGGTTACAGGCAAACTAATGTTCTGGCTAACAGTGTAAATGCTGACCCTTATCTGAGAACACACCCTTTGACATAACCTCTGCTTGCAACCAGATCTACTTTAACAAGATCAGAAGTCACATAATTGCACAATGTGATATTTTCAAAAACAAAAGTCATGTTCTCTCCCATCATTTGGGTTCAAATTGTCCCTGGGAGGTCAGTACAGCAAAGGCAGAGATATTTAGAATTTTGCAAAAATTCCTAAGTGCTGACATACAAGCAACAACGTTACTGTTGGCAAAATTCACAAAGATGCAGGAGTATCGGGAGTTTTTCCGAGGCCATCCTCAAGTCTCTAAGGCATATTAAATGCTCAGGCATTACTCATCATTGGGCATAATGAGTGGGTGCAGGGATTCTGGTCACGAGTCTTCTTAGTCACTTAAAAACATGGAGAGGGGTGCCTGGGTGGCTCAGTCGTTAAGCGTCTGCCTTCGGCTCAGGTCATGATCCTGGGGTCCCGGGATCGAGTCCCGCATCGGGCTCCCTGCTCGGCGGGGAGTCTGCTTCTGCCTCTGACCCTCCCCCCTCTCATGTGCTCTCTCTCATTCTGTCTCAAATAAATAAATAAAATCTTTAAAAAAAATATTAAAAAAAAAAAACCATGGAGAGAGTTTAATCAATATTTCTAGAACTGTGTTGGGGGTGGGGGTGGTGACCTCTCTTGTCATCTGTCATTGAGGATCCCCGAGTATGTTTTCCTGGGGCCTTATGAGGGTTAAACTGGGGGAGAATTGGGGCTCCTTGCCAGCTCCTGGTCATCTGAAGATGTCCTCTAGGGAAGGAAACTCCACTTCTTTTAGGGAGGCTGGAGTGAACTTGGATTACACTTTTTGGACATGGACTGAGTTACCACGATGTTCCTGTTTCCTAGGATAAGCTCTGGGAAAGACCATGTCGTCTTGATTGGCACTACCAGGGACCTGCTCCTAAGACCCTGTATGACCGACACAGACAGAGGGTAAGGAGTTCTCCTCAGGAAGGGAGCCGGCTGAGTATAAGGAGAAAGAGCCTGTCTGCAAGAGCTCCTCGAAGTTTCCAACCCCTCCTGCATCATGCCCAAGGGGCTTAGGTGCTTCAACAGGCTGCTTGGCAGGAGACTGGCTATGGAGTGAAACCAGCTCAGGTCTGAGGAGCACGTGGGACTGGGAGGTACTAACTGGAGATCTGGGACTTATCTGGTCCACAGATACATTTTGTTCAGGCACGTGGAAGTCTTATAAAATCTGAGCCTTCACATTTAAAAAATTAGGGGGTTCCCATGAATAGCTGGGTTTCTGTTTTCTGAATAATCGGATCTTAGAAGTACCTGAGCTGTATTCCCACATGACAGTAATCAGCCAACTGAAGCTAAGTAGTGGCTATCCTCATGTTTGCCACGTTCGTGACCTGTTTCTCTCGTCCCCATTACTAATGTGAATCCCGAAGACACTTGAGTGTACAATCCTTGGTGAAGTTAAAAAATATCTACTAACACCTTCTATGTATATAATTCTGATGCTGTTGGCTTAGGCTCCTTCAAAGACTCTAGGTGGCGTTCTCACCTGCTGGAGAAAGCAGTTTGTAGACAGGGGCCTGATGCTATTAGGAGGGGAGAGTTGGCCTCACACTGGAGCTGGATTTCCACTGGACTGTTCATTAGTGACCCAGCCCCCTCACCTTTCAACTTCTTGCCATTTTTTTTTTTTTTTTACCTAGAATGCCATTATCATTATGAGTTAGGACACGTGTAAAAAGTTACCAATGAGGCTGTTAGGCTCAGGGTTTGCATTTAGAGTAGTCAGGAAGGAGACAATGCCATCGCATCTGTTGGCATTCATCTAATTTATTATATATTTAAAAAAATAATGCACCCTCTAACAAGCTTGATCTGCAAATATGAACGGAAGGTGCAAATTGAAAAATACTTATCTCTAAATATTTTCACATGTAAAGGTTCAGGTGTAATTTTAAAAAGCCTCCCCTTATTGGAATGCATAAAAAAATTACATCTCACAATCTTCAATCAAATTAAGGTTGGATTACATCAAGTGGCTGTACTAGGTTCATTCAGTTTCTTTCTGGAAATGTGAGTTAGCCTCTAAGAAATATTCAGAGTTTCAGAGCTTTATTATTTATGGCATTGTAAATGTCCTCAGTCATCGGCACATACATTTCTGCTTTGTCATCCAAGAAATATAAGGCATCTTTGATGACTGCAGGGTTAAAGCCCTCCTCCACGAGGGTCACTTTGCGGTGCTTAAAAGTTCCAGTAATCTCAATGGTGTCCTGAAAAACAGCAAACAGTCCACATTGTTGGAGTGTTGTGTAAATAGATGAGGATTCAGGGCAAGGGGCAGAGGTGGGGCCAGAGGGCTGGCAACCCACAGGCATCTCGGGCTCAGGTGGAAGCTGTGAGAGGCAGTTCCGCGTATCAATACCTCCTGTTTACAGAAACTCCACGGGGCGGGGGAGGGGGGGGTGGCTTGTTTTCATTCCTCTGGGGCTTTAAAATCACCTGTGGGGCATGAGGGGCTGTGGAGGTGAAAGGCAGAGCAGAGCTGCTTATTGAGCTCCAGGCGTTACTAGAATATCCTGATTTATGGTGGGGTGGGGCTAGGGATCATCTACACACAGATGATTTTTTTTCTTCAATTGATAGGTGATGGCTGATCTGAGGGTATTTCAATGTTCATGTCTCTCAACCATTCTCGTCGTAAAGCAAATGTCAGTGCTTTATGAACATCAACAGAAATAACCCTGTAACTTCCGCAGTAGCAGGTAATCTAATATTTCTTTTCTCAAGTCTTCAGCTATAGAATCATAGAGCTCATAGTCCAAAAGTGAAGTGTTAAGCTAACCAATGGGTTGATGCTTGGAAAGAAAAAAAAAAATCCCTCTGATGGTGATAGTTAAGCTTTTGATAGTTCCAAAACGGCTAATGATGCCCAATGAAATTTCACACCCTAGAAAGGTGTAGAACTTCAGTGGATTTTTCCACTCTTTAAAACTGGAAACAACAAACAGGAGGGTCGGAGCATTTCTATTTTAAGTGTCTGTCATGCCTTGTCAAACACAGACTTTGTGAGTTATCTGCTAATACTGCCACTGAGTGAACTGGTCTGTCATTTTAGGGGAAAAGGGATCAGGATTTGGCTTCTGCTAGTTCTATTTCCTGATATTTCTGCTTCCTTGTTGAGCTTCCAGGTCAAGGTTAGTGAAAATATGGCTAATAGGGTCGCCATGGTAGAAGGCAGTTTTTCCCTAAGAGACAGTGGTCTCCAAGAGAGAGGATAATTGAACTCGAGAGCAAGAGTTCTCACCTGTATTCTAAGAAACCGGGGCCTTGCATAAGTGGGCAGGTAATCGGCAACATGGTTAAAGAGTTTCTTTCCATCAAATTCATAGTTTTCCTTCATTTTGATCGTGGCCATGCCAATTCGACCCTCATGACCTAGAAATAAAGTGAGAAAATATTAGATGTGTTGTCCTGTTTATGATGCTTTCCTAGTTCAAAGAACTAGGAAACTGAGAACTAGGGACTGAGAACATTACAACATGGGTTTCTTTTGGATAGTTGGAATTTCTATTTCAGATATATGTTGAAGTTATTCTAAGGTGAATACAACAACAAGAGCTATACACTGATTAAATCTTCTTTCTAAAGATTTTAGAGAGAGAGAGTGGGGAGGGGCAGAAGGAGAGGGAGAGAGAAACTTCAGCAGACTCCTCATTGAGCTCGGAGCCTGACGCGGGGCTCGATCTCAAGACCGTGAGATCATAACCTCAGCTGGAACCAAGAGTCGGACGCCCAGTGGACTGCGCTGCCCAGGGGCCCCCATTAAATCTTTATCATATGCCAGACCCTATACTAAGTGTGTTTTATGGACTACCCCATTTAACCCTCACCACAGCCTTCCGAAGAAGTGGAAATGTTATCTCCACTTTACAGATGAAAAAACCTGGGGCTTAAAGACATTAAGGGATTTGTTCAAGTTCACACAGCAAATAATAGGCAGAGTCAGACAGTGCTTGTACTGGTCATCCTTCTTAGTGGCCTACATGAAAACACCTGAATGGGAGCCAGGTCCCACTTGTGGCTCAGGGAATTTCGTTTTTTGGACTCCCGTGAAAAGTCCTTGCTCTGCTGTCATGAACCACTGGGCTCGGGGTGCAGTGTCAGGTCCGCTGTGCTTGGGCACAAACACCACCTTTGAGACTTACTTATTTAATCAAGATACTTAATAGCTCTGCCTCTCTGCATTCCAGAGAAGCTGTGGGTCAGAAGGGTGACAGGAGGCGCAAGGGTGAGCTGCTGTGGGCCCTCCCGTTGATAAGCTTTATTCCCAAAGAGGCCGTGTCTCCACAGAGACAGCAGATCCAGCAGCTCTTTCCTCCCTGTCAGGCAGCAACGTAAGTGGAGAGGAGTTTAGAACAATTACTATACTGTTTTCTTGTGAGGACAGTGGTAATTAGGTCTTAGTACGTCTTCTACCTGATCCAGCAGACCCAGCGGGAGTCTAGGTCCACTTCCCTGAACTACTTAGCTGTCATCAGAGAGGGGAAGGAGCCATCCTTCGTCACCTGGGCCCCAGCTTTCGAAACCTCTCCCATGGTGATTGTGTGTTTATCTGTGGCTCTAAAGAAGGTAGGAAACAAGAGGAAACATTAAAAGAAAGGAAATGCACCCCTATACAATTTGCCTCTTAGCTGAAGGAGGGAGGAAGGGCACCGGACCCTCCTTCTCTAGGGGTCCCGGGTAGCTCTGTCTTGAGAGCACCCATCTCCGGAATCTCGAATGTCTCAAATAAGCTTCTTTTAGAATCAAGGCAGAGGCTGATGCAACAGAAATCTTGAGCACTGACTGCCTCCTTGCCTCTCGCTCTGACAGAGGCAATGCCCAACTGAGACTCGAATAGTCCTATTGGGTCTCAGGTCTCTGCCCTGGCTCCCAGGGGTTGGTTTAGGGCCAGTTCAACTCCAGTTTACAGCTGTTCTGGCCAGAGTCTCTCTAGAGCTGCACTGTCCAATGTGGTAGCCACTGGTTACATCTGGCTATTAAAATTAATTATAATAAAATCCAATAAAAAATTCAATTCCTCAGTTGTACCAGCCACATTTGGAGTACTTAGCAGCCATGTGATAGTTATTGGCTACCATACTAGACAGTGCAGACATAGAACATTTTCATCATTGCAGAAAGTTCTATTGAGAACAAAAAGTTCTAGAGAGTAGCTGGGAAGTTCTGGTGTGACACCTAAAAAAATGTCCACTGGACCCAAACTTTGGAGTACCTTCCTGGTCCAAAGCTGAGATGTGGGAAGGTCTTGCCGAGCTCTCTGCTGCTGAGAATCACTCTGGTGGACTGGCTTATTCTAGATAGCCCTGCCACATTTCTAGGCTGGAATGGGGCTGGCTGTGTGCCTGGCAGTCCAGCCAGCAACAGGCATGGCACTGAGAATCAGACTCTGAAAGCTGAGAGACCCTACTTCTCAGTTCATCTCTAATCTTTCAATGCTGCAAGAATTCTCATAGGACATCCAGCTCCTTTACATGCCCCAGTCGGTGGGGCATTCCCCACCTCAGGAGATAGGCTTTTCTGTCGTCCGTCTTGGGTTCTAGGAGGCGTCTCAGGCTAAATTTTGCTCCCTGGTATTGCACACCTGTCATCTATAATTAAAATGATTTCTTCTCATGACAATACTCATGTGTACATCTGGTAAATAGGTGTTTAGTATTTATGTAGTTGAAATGAATGAGTTCTCTTGACAATCTCAACAGCAGGGCTGGTATTACCCCTAATTTTAGTGATTTGCCCGAAGTCCAATGGCCAGCAGGTACTGGAGCCCAGGACCCGAGGTCAGACCTCAGCACTCCCCACTCTGCTCGCAGAAGCAGATCTGCAGATGAAGGCGTGGTGACCCCACTCTGTGTGATGATTCTGAAACTCATGGGGTGGGCTGAGGTCCAGGACCTGTTTTAAAAGAAGTCTGGACAAAGTCAGCTCCTTTGCAGTTTTTTCTCCTAGCAACTCTACTTGTTTTTATTTGTGATTCCCAGTTCGGAGGCCAAGGGACCATTTCCCAGCTATCAAGCCTGGAACATCTTTTCCCGAGGTGTGCCAAATGCAGTGTGGGACCATGTATCTTGGAGAGATTGGCTTGCCCGAGAGCCCAAGAACAGCTGGGGAGCTGAACCCACAGAAGGAGGCCAGGTTCAGATGTACTGACCTGGCTGATTTTACAATGGAATATAAAGCAGACATCAGCCCCTTACTCCCAGGTGGCTGAAAGAGTTGTTTGACTCTCCAGCTGGCAGGCAAAAGGGCTGACAAACTTTGCTCTGGGGTTAAAATTCTGTTCAGTTACTGTACGGGTTTAGGCATAAGGTTTAGACTTAAAATATTCTGTGCGTACCTGGCACAGACACTCCGTAAACAGTTACTTCTTGGACAAAATCGACTAGTCCTACTGTATCAGCGACTTCAGTGGTGGCCACATTTTCCCCTTTCCAGCTGGAAGAAAAGGCAAGGTTAGCAGAGGTTACCGGTGGGCCCTGGCCAGGCTGCCATGACAGGGCAGGTGGTATCCCCAGACCTCTGGAGGGTGTCTGCACCCGTTTTCCCATCTCTTTCCCCAAATCCCCACAACTCAGTCATGGGAAGGCATCCTGCTCGGGACACAAAAGACAAAGGCATAGGACTAAATAATAAAATGTGAAATTCCAATCTCACCACATGAAACACGATACAAAGAATGATGTTGTTCTAATGTCGAAATACAGGTTTGGCCTAAGAAAGGCCCAGGAAATAAAAAATAAGTCTCAATGACTTTTTGTTGTGTTTAGTTCTCTCACTTTTCTTACTAACTTCGGTTGCTATTTAATTCAATTTAATAGAATTTCGTCCTTGTATTTTAGGGTCTCATGGCAAAGGGAAAGCTTTGAATAGAAGATATACTTTATGTGCAGGGAGGTTATAATGTTAGTGCCCAATCAGGTGCTACTTGTCCACTTAATAAAGAGTTAAGTTTTGTCTTACATTTAAAAATTCTTTGGATCAACATGAAGTTGGCATAAAATCACGGTATGGATCCTGAGTCCTGGAATACTAGAGATGGAAGGATCACTGGGACCCTCATTTCGTGGGGGAAGGAATGGGTTGAGAAAGGCTACCTGCCTTGAGAGCACAGCTGGTCTGGAGTAGAGGTGAGCTTAGGAGCTTGGTTCTCTTCATTCACATTCTTGCTCTTCCTACTGCAGCCAGACACCTTCCATCCCTTCCTCATTCATTCATGCAAAAAGTAATCATGTGTGTTAAGCACTGTGCTCGGTGCTGGGAGTGAACCAGCAGACACAGGGCCTGGCCTCAGGGAGCTTACATAGGAAGGAAGCTGATTAAACCAAAATGTCATGAGGCTGGAGGACCATGCTGCACTTAGGAATTAGTTTCATGGTCTTATTGTAATGACTTTCAAACTTCATGGTGCTGACTCGGGTTTCTGTGGGAAACCACCTGGTTAGGGCTGGAGCGTGGGAGGGAAGGAAACAGGCGGGGCTCAGAACCCTTCACCTCCTCTTCAGCTAGATCAGCTCCACATTAGCTTACATTTGATTTTATTTGAAGAAAGGCCCCATGATTGGAAACAGTGTGAAAATTCCTGGCTGTCCTACGAGTGTCTGGTAATAACTGAGGATAAATGAGAGAAATTGGATGGACTATTAGGCTCCAAAAATCGGGCACAGGTTTTCTGCCTTTTTCTCATCTGGTGTTGCTCAAGCAAGTTATCTGTCTGTGCATTGCAGAGTGACACTTCCTGTGTTTTGTTCCTTATTTTCTGGGAATACAGAAGGTCGACCTGACACGCCAAGAGATAGAAGGAAATAGAGCATCGTAGCCAAAGTAGGATGCAATTCCAATTTAGGAGTCAGCCAAATTGTGCATGTGTTTGTTTTTTGGCTCAGTAATTCAAAGAAACCAACCGGAAAGTATCTCCAACTCGGTCATGAAAGTAGATGAAATTTTCATGGTCAATCAGTAAGAGATCGCCACTGTTGAAATAGAGGTCTCCTTTCTTAAAGACGTCTCTCAGTTTTTTCTTCTCTGTCTGAGTAGTTCCTCCAGCATAACCACTAAAGGGCGTAAGTTGTGTGATTCTGCAAACAAGGAGTCCAACCTCACCTAAGACGGAAGAAAGTAAATTGTCATTTTATGTGCAAGCAGTAGGCAAATTTTATGATTAACATTCTCTTAAAACTGTTGCCATACACTCAAAAATGGACATCTTCACACATGGCCCTTAAACCTGCTACAAATACCATTTTTAATTTATTTTAATTTGTTTTATTTTTTTTCAAATACCATTTTTAACCTTACAGGGGCTGGTACTAAGCCTATCTTCAACAATGAAAAAATTAAAGACGGACTTTTTTTATAATTAAAATACCCTCAGAAAAATGTAGTGCAATGTTGTTCAAGTTGCATTTTCAGTTACCTTTATTAGAAATCATTTACAAAGCTGATCTCATTTTCTATGTACAGTGGCAACATTCAGATGCTTATCATTTCAATAATTTGCATATATTATTAGGAATCAGTTTTTGAACTTACAATGGAAGATATCTTCTCCTCTACCTCAACCTTTAATTTTCCACAACCTAATACAACTCACAAGTGAAATATCCCCATCATTCCATCTTAATTTTACAGCATTTCCAAGACATAAACTTATAAAATTCTCTTTCAATCTGTTTTGATTGACCAAATGCACAGATTTTCCAAATTCTAGATCTTGAAGCGCCATATATATTTGTTCTGCAAGTGGATCTTAAAATTCTCTGAAAAGCGACTATGTTCAAAATAATTTTTATCTCATTTTACAGAAGATATGCATATCCCTCATATGCATAACCCTAAGTCCTGCCAATGGACATTGCCCCAGTTATTAAATTAACCCTGGGCTGAAATTAGCATATGTGTTTTTTTTTTTTCAGACTACTCCCAGATTTTCAAATTTGTAATAAAGTTGAAACTCATTGGTTTTCCTATGCCTTTCTGAACTCTTATAACTGGGTTTTGATCACATTTTATATTAAAGTGGCTAACCCATGGCTTAAAAAAATAAAATCTAAATAACACCAAACTAAGAAAATTCTTTTAAAAACCTATCCTTCCCTGCCATATATAAATTTAAGTGTGTGAAGCCTGGCTTTAACAGGGGGTTTTGGAACATGTAGGGTATGCCTAGAGTGAGAGTGACAGGTCATGAGAATTTTCCCTTAGCAACTTTGCTTTTTTCATTCCTTGATAGAAACATGAAAAAATGCCTAGCTTTGGAGCAAAATAACACAATGCTAAGAAGTGGTGAATGCTAAAGAACAAAAAACAAAGAAACCCCAAAAAACAACCAACCAAACCAAACAACTGTTGCCATACAATCCATTGGCAACACGCTGGCTGTAAGAAGTGTCACTTTCCATGCCCATGTACATGTGTATCCATACACATCAGATACACGCATATAGACACTGTACACACGAAATACAGAATTCTATGTGGCCACGCATTTGTAATTCTAAAAATGCTAGTATTTTACTGAATAATGATTTACACACAGCACTAGACAAATGCACAGTATGTTAAGCTTGAAGGTAAAGATCTAAAGCAAACTATATTTTGCAACCGTACTTACATATTCCTTTCCACAAAATACCCCATAGTCAGGAAGTTGTTAAGCTAGGTTTCAAAGTATAATTATGTTACATGTAGTGGTAAATTAGTACCTTTTGGAATTTCTGTAACTATTTCTGAGGGTACTTAAATAAATCTCTTTTATTCCCCCACTCTAAAAAATTTTACCACGTATTCATTTTAACAATGATATGTTAGTTCTTAATAGTCACTTGATAAAGGTAAGAAAAAACCCAGGTTAACTGAACAAAACTCTCCCGTACCTTTGGGAACTCTGATGCAATATCCATTTCCATCTCGCACAGGCTCATCTTTCTCCACATCATATTTAATCAGATCGTAAGATATGACTTTCTAGCAAAATGAAAATATATCATTTTATTTTATTTATTTTTAAAGATTTTATTTATTTGAGGGAGGTTAGAAGGAGAGAGAGCGCGCACGAACACAAGCATGGGGAGGGGCAGAGGCAGAGGGAGCAGCAGGTTCCCTGCTGAGCAGGAAGCTGGACACAGGGCTCATCCCAGGACTCCGGGATCATGACCTGAGCTGAAGGCAGACACTTAGCTGACTGAGCCACCCAGACACCCCAAAATATATTGTTTTAAATACAAATTTCTTCACATCTTTTCCTTTTTATTGTGGTATAGCATACATTAAGTACAAAAAGTGCATATATCTTAAATGCCCAGCTTGATAAAATGACATATAGACACATCCATGTCACTACCACCCAGACCAAGAGATAAAACATTTCCAAATACTGTCAAAAGTCTCCTCTTGCCCCTTTCTGTCAAATCCACCGCTATTCTAACTTATCACCATCAATTAGTCTTACACTTCAAATAAATGAGATAAGGGGATGAAGTATGTGTCTTTGTGTTGCTGTTTTCCCGCTGTATAATGTCTGTTACTCGTCTAGCCATGCTAATGGCTTTTTTCCCAATAGTTCATTTTTTATTGCCATGGAATTTTCCTTGTATGAATATACCACAATTGATCTATCCTCCCGTTAACTGGCATTTGGACTGTTTTTAGTTTTAGACTTTTACAAATGATGCTGTTATGAACACTCTCATACATGTGTTTTGGTAGACATGTCACAAGTGGGTTTTAAAAACCCGTATGCCAGTGTTAGAAGTTTCATGTTTCCACACATTTTCCAATATATTTAAGGCTCAGTGGCATAATTATTTCATGCCTGTGGCTATAAAATGATTAATTTTATATTTCACATACACATTTCAAAGGCATAAGAATTTCAATTTATGTAGTTCGGTAAGAGTAATAAGTATATTTTTCTCTACTAATATACTCTTATTTTCTCTACTAAATAGGACGGTATTTGGAAGTAAATTATTAGCCAGGAAGACTGTGTCCATTTCAAGTTTATATTTAAGTCTCTATGATAAGTTAGCCAATCAGATGCTTTAATCGTAGCAGATGACCATTACAATCAAGTAGCATTCATAGTCAGCCAGTGTTAGATCTTGTTTATTTGCAAAGGTGTAAAAAATTTGGGGGTGCTAATGCTTCTTTCCACATCAGTTGCAGGGGCATCTTCTTCCTTTTTTTCAGTTAAAAAAATATCTTCTTGTTTAAAGCCGAAAAACGGACAATAAAACATGGTGATCAACCACTGAGAAGCCAAGAACTAGTAGTATATGGCACCCACTTTTAAGGTCCTCAGGTCTGGTTGAAAACAAATGTTTCCTTGCCTCTCGTCTTTTTCAGGGTCAATAGCAATGACATAGACATCTCGTACCATGTCCCAATCAACTCAGCTTCCTATTCTTTCTTGTTCTGAGCTGCATTCGACCCGGGTCCCTGAGGTTCGGGCTGCTGCAGGTTGAACTGAAGCTAGCTAGAGAAGACTGACCTTATCGGGTGCAGCTGCAGTGGGGAGTCAGAAATGGATTCGCAGCCCTGTAAGCAGTGCCGCCCGGTAGAATTTTCTGTGATGATGGAAATGTTCTACCTCTGTACTGCCCAACACGGTAGTCATGAAACACACGTGGCTACCGAGCATGTGAAATATGGCTAGCGTGAATGAAGAACTGAATTAAAAATGTCATTCACATCATTTAAGTGGAAATGGTCACATGTAGCTAGCGGCCGCCCCGCCGGATGGCACAGGTGTGGAGGACGGTGGCGGGACCTGCGTCACATAGGTGTGGCTGTCAGCGTCCCAGAGGTTCCTGGGGCTTGAGAAGGCCTTGAGATAAGGCTACAGTGTGAGGAATGGGATGATAATAAGCACTACAGCTAATAATTACTCACGGCTATTATATGCCAGGCATTGGGTTATATCCTCTAAGGATTTTTTTTCCCAAGTTATTTAATTCTTTCAATAACCCTTCCCCCTTATTATAAATACAGAGTTTGGGCCAGGCACACTAGGTTCTACATTTTCTCTTTTTATCTCCGTTTTACAAACAATGAAATGGTGGCCTAAGGAACACGAGTGACTTGCTCGAGGTCACCCAGCTGGTATGCAAGGTGCTGAAAGTTGATTTCTCAGGGCAGATCTCTTATGCGCACAAACTGCTGTCCTTTGTACTCTGCCCATCAGTCCCCAGGGACACATGCTGCGGGGGAGCTCTGGTGTGACTGTTCAGGGCCAGGCAGGAGGGGCTGCCAGATGCATAGTGCCTGCAGGGACTCCTCAAGCCAGTGGAGGCTCAGCCTTCGCTAAATATTCCTGGGATGGTTGAAAAACAGGGGGTCACCCAGAAGACTGACTGCTCAAACACAAAAAAGGCGAAGAGACTGTCTGGAGAGCCCGGGCCATTAAATGCCTGTGAGGGAACAGAGACTGCTATGTGAGCTGGCTGAAAAATAAGAACTATCTTTCTGGTGGAGTGATCAGGCAAATTCAAATGTCTGTGAGATCCCAGAGCTGCCGCGCAGTCCAGTTCTCTTGAAGGTCTAAACGCAAACGGTGGTTCCTAACCCTGGCGGCACAGCTTTCGAAAAACACCGATGTGGGTGCCCTGTCTCAGAACCATGGGACCCGGAGCTCAGGGGGTGGCACCCTGCACCTGTAGACATACAGAGGGCCCCCGGTCACTGTGACGCACAGGACCATGAGCGAGAAACACCCCATTTCAGGGCGTGTGGTAAACTTACCGAACCAGCAGGCTTCTGGTGTTTTGACATCTACACGTATAAACGGCATCAGGAAGACTGCGCGTTAAGTTGCAGGTAGCAGAGGTTGTTATGAAGAGAAATTGAGATTTTAAAATTAAAGGGCCCTGTCACTTTGCGCTCATCATCACAGAGAATGAGCAGATCCTCTGTCTTGGTGAACACGGATCGGCCATGGCTCTGATGAGGTATGAAATTCTAAGAACATCATCATGACACAGCTTTTAAGAAGTCTCTGTATTCTGAAAGTCAGCTACGTACACTTTCATCTTTCAATGTACTTACTTTCTGTAGGTAGTTTACTCTCCCAATAGCACCGATTTTTCTTGTATAATTCACAAAGGCAATATTGCCTTCAGTGGCAGCGTAGAACTCATAAATGCAAATGTCCCCAAATCTCCTGGTGAATTCCCTCCACACATCTCCTCGCAAGCCATTTCCTATTGCTAGTCTCACTTTATGGACGTGATCATTTGGTTTCTGTGGTAGGAGGAGGAGAGACCAAATTAAAACCTCTCCGGAGACTGTACCTATATACTTGTAATTGCCTTTATGTTTCTACATATTTACGTTGGTTGTGGATTCACCTCGCAGTGCACACCTTCTCTGTTACTCACACACATCACGCCTCCTCCCCGCCAACCCACGCGGTTTGGGCCGACAGCTAGAACTCTGATTTAATAACCAAAAGACTTGGCTCTTCCCATTTTGATTTTTAAAAGGCAAGGTGAGATGATTTGATAGAACTAAGTGAGGCCAACATTTAATCCATATCCAATCTGGAAGCTAGAATAAGGTATTGATTGTTTTCTTGATGGGGCTGGTGAATCTCAACTGCCAGAAAGGAGGGGTCACATGGGAAAGATCTATCAAAGACTGACAATCTGAAGCAATAGTCTTCACTTGACAAGGAAGAAGAAAACTGGGAACACAGTGTAAGGAGAGAGAGAATGATTTTCTACAGTCATTAATGTTAGGGTCTCAGGGGACTGGAGAGAAGACTTTTTTTTAAAAAAAGATTTTATTCGTTTATTTGAGAGACAGAGAGCATGAGTGGGGGGAAGGGCAGAGGGAGAGGGAGAAGCAGACTCCCCACTGAGCAGGGAGCTGGATGAGGGGCTTGATGCGGGGCTCGATCCCAGGACTCTGGGATCATGACCCAAGCCGAAGGCAGACGCTTAACCGACTGAGCCAGCCAGGTGTCCCTGGAGAGAAGACTCATGATCATGTCCTCATTTCACAGACCCAGAGGTCACAAAGCCAGGTAAAGCTGAACCATGACAATGAAACTATCCCAATGGGATTGGGAAGAGGAAGAGAGAGAGGAAGCTGGCTCTCAGTTGCCTCAGGTGGCCTGGGAGGAATATACTTTGCTATAAATAAAAATCACAAAGGAAAAATTGTCTTGAGTGTAAGAACTGAAAGGAGACCTTGTATCAGCAGGAGAGGTGGAGTTAGGACCAGGTTGCTTTCCATTCAACCACAATCAGTTGTGAGGCCCCTACAAATATGTCCAAATCTATAGTAATTTCGATGATATTTTATATTAATAAGGCAATTTATATCCTCCAGGAGATCACAGTTTGGTGGGAGAGAAAGATAAACAAGTATAATTTTAACCTGCAGATTCTGTAATTCTATGACCTTTAACAGGAAATGGAATGGAATGGGTGAAAGTGCTTGGTAACTAGGATTCTCACATTGGGGCACCTGGGTGGCTCAGTTGGTTAAGCGACTGCTTTCAGCTCAGGTCATGAGGATCGAGCCCTGCATTGGGCTCCCCACTGAGCAGGAGGAGTCTGCTTCTCCCCCTCCCCCTGCTCATGCTCTTTCTCACACTTACTCTTTTTCAAATAGGACTCTCACATCAAGTGTTAATTTCTTGGATCGGACAACATTTGGCTTACAAATGTTCTTCAGAGCATTTGCTCCATTATTTCCTCTTCTGTGAAGTCATTGTGACGTTATTTTGGAGCTAGAGTTCCTCTTGGAAAAGAGCTGTTGGCATAGAGAGACTGGTGGTTCTCTGGTAAGGGGAGGGCCTTTGATAGGACAGGTGAAAACCCAGCCAAAACAAAGCTTGAATTGAGTTCCGTGCGAGAGGAGGCAGCGGGTCAGGGGAGTAGTGTAGATGCATTTCATTTTTGAGTAGATCCTTGGTCAAAACTCAGGGGGTGAAGCTTCTTCAGGAGTCCTAACCAATGAGGAGAACAGATACTGGTCACTCGTAAAAACTGGGTCCCTGGTGTGGCCTTTCTGAGGAGGAAATGTGTAGGGCCCAGGGGTCTCCTGCCAGTAGTTCTTAACCAGGGTGTTCAGCAGAGTTACCTGAGCAGCCTTTTAAATCTGCATGAACCTCGACATTCTGAGTGGGAACCTATTCTCTTAATCAGCAACCTAGGTCCACAGGTCACTGAATCTATAGATCTTCCTCGATTTCTGATGGCATTACATCCCAATATACCCACCATAAATTAAAAATGTCATAAGTCAAAAACGCTTTTAATTCACCTAATCTACCGAACATTAGAGCTTAACCTAGCATACCTTAAGTGTGTTTAGAACACGTACATAAGCCTACAGCTGGGCAAAATCATCCAGCACAAAACCTATTTTATAATACAGTATTGAATATGTCATGTAATTGATGGAATACTGTACTGAAAGTGAGAAATAGAATGGTTGTCTGGGTCTCGGCTGTTCACCCTCATGATCGTGCGGCTGACTGGGAGCCGTGGGTCACTGCGCCTGCCCAGCATCATGAGAGAGGATCAGAGTATCTATTGCTAGACGGATAAAGATCAAAATTCAAAACTTAGTGTATGGCTTCTACTGAGTGCGTATCACTTTCACACCATGGTAAAGTCAAAAAATCATAGGTGGAACCATCATAAGTTGGGGACTATCTGTATTCCTTTTTAGAATTACAAAGTACCTAGAAGTAGGGAGGCCATGTGTCTGGTTGGTCAGGGCCAGTCCTGGTTTATGCCCGTGGTCCTGATGTGCTTATTAATTACACTCCTTTCACTCTCAAGTGTCCCCGTTTAGACAGTGAATTGTAGGGTCACCCTTCCATAAGGCACTATTCTCAGTTAAGGATTGTCAGCTTTTCAGAGACCATCCTCGCCTCCCACACTGCTGTCCCTCACTGCCCCTCCAGGAATAAAACGTCATAAATATTTGAAGAATACGGACTTTCGCTTAAAAATAACCTCCTGACCTGGGGCTTACCTGCTCCCAGGCCTGTGTGAGAAGCTCCAAAGTAGCATTCCAGTGTGTAAACCCAAGACTTTACTAATCCGTATGCAGCCCGTAATCACCCTCTTAGATCATTTCCTTTTCTAATGTGTGGCGAACATCTATCTCCCCCATGAGATTGTAAACTCCTTTGAGGCCAAATAGATCTCTCTGTCATCTGCAGTGCCTGCACCTGGCTTTGCATACCGAGCAATAGCTTCAATAAAAGAAGGAGTAACCTCCACCAGGGAGCCCTCAAGTTCCCTGTTCGACAGTTAATGGCCCGGACATCAGCCCAAGGGCAGGGCCTAGGGCACAGGAGGCGGCAGGTGCCTCGGGTGCCTGGGCCACAGGCCAGCCTCCCAGGTGCAGCTCTCACCTGGGGGTGGCAGTTAGCTGGGCTGAGAGTCACAATACCATGAGCTCGGTTTTCATCATGAACTGAGGGATCTTATTACACCAGCAGAAGGGATTAAGGCTGTAAGCTGGAAGTGTTTGTGCACACAAACTGGGAGATCCTGCAACCTTCTGCGATGTCTGGTTCTCACCCAAGTTTTGCTCACCACTGGCTGACAGTACCTGGTGTGACTTGAGTTTTCCTTGCCCGTAGGAGAAAGTGTGTTTCCTCATCACCAAATTCACTCCTCAAGGGAGCTGTATTTTAGGTCAAGAATCACCCGCTTGTTTTTCTTTAACAAAGATCAAACCTTTGATTCCATGTGAGAGAGGTGAGGTCACATGCAAACACACCCGGGGGACTTAAATCCGCACTAGGATTTGATGACTGAAAGGTGAGAGGTCAGGGTGTCCAGAGAGGAATGGAAAGTACCAGGTAAATAAGTAAACAGAAAACTTTTATCGAGGGCTTTCCTACTACGTGCCAGGCATTTGACCTTTATTATCTTACTCAAGTTTCTATAGAATCCTACCAAAATGTGATAGGTAATGAAAATATTTGCCTCAGGGGTGCCTGGATGGCTTCGTCGGTTAAGGGTGGTGGGACTCTTGATCTCAGCTCAGGTCTTGATCTCAGGGTCATGAGTTCAAGCCCCGCATTAGGCTCCATGCTGGCTGTGAAGCCTACTTAAAAAAAATATATATATTGGCCTCAATTACAATTGAGGAATCAGAGTCTCAAAAAGATTAAAATAATTTGCTGGAGATCACACAGGTAGCAACATAGTTCTCCAAGATTCAAATCCAAATCTATGTGAATGCAAAGAGAATTCTTTCCCCCTTAGTTAAAAAAAAAAAAAAGAGTGGCACATGTGAAGTCTAACGTTCTAACAGTCAAAGCACTGAAAGGCTTTTAAATGGCCGATGCCGTCACCCCACTTGCCTGCTCCATCCTCTGCCTCCGCTCTACCACCTGGAGGCAGACACTGTCCACTCTTGTAGCTCCTTCCTCTTCTCTCCGGTTTCTAAATTACATGCTTAGACTATTCTCTTTTGATTCATCAATTGTAGATGTTATTTGTTGATTTTCTATTGTGCTGGAGGAAGTTGAAGCTCTCTATCATTCTCTTCAATTTTTCCAATATCCCAATTTTTGGTTAAGTCAATGTTCGGTGCTCACATTATTTTGCTCATCATACACTACTGAGGAGCCAAGGAATATACTCTGATCAAATTCTTTTTTTTTATTTTTTATTTATTTATTTGAGAGAGAGAGAATGAGAGACAG